GTGTGTGTGTGTGTGTGTGTGTGTGTGTGTGTGTGTGTGTGTGTGTGAAAATGGAAATTACATTTAATTCCATATTCTTTGAGTTTAAGTTGAACTCTTTTAACACTTTTGTTTCTCTCTGTCTGTCCTCAGTGCCTCTGATCAGAAGCATGGAGTCTAGAATAATGATTCCCACCAAGAGTTCACCTTTGCAATAAGAAGAGGACTGAAACTGAGAACATCTCTCTGACAAAAACTCATTCACCAACGGCCTGAGCAACATGTCGTTTTGTTCTTTTAATCTGCTGGATGATCCGTATTATGTTCAAGTATGTAAAGAAAACCTTTTTTCTGATTCTATATTTGCACAGTGGCCAGATAGTCATGAAAAGAAGCGATGCAGTATTTGTGTGCATAGATTTTGCCTACATGTCTTGAAGTTCAGGTCAAATATTAAAAAATAAGTAATGACAAACTTGCACAATGAAATGCCAAATTATATGCATGCCATTACTTGCATGTATTTTACACTTGATTGAAAAAAATGACATGATTGCGTTGAGCTAGGTGCGGTATGTTTCCTGCTTTTTGTTTTTTATCATGAGTGGTGGTAAAGGGCCGTGCATTTCTTTTTCACAATGGCGGAGGAAGAGTCTCCACCCAGCCTTTTATGACTGAATATGAATCACACAGAATGAGATCACAGAGAGCTTCACAGCTGTGACTGTGAAACACATGTTAGATCAAATAAAACTTGTCAGACCTCACTCGTTTAAAACAGCTGATCATTTCACCGATTTAAAATTTACAAAAAGTTGTGTAAAGAGCTTCGCAGGAGCAAATGTGTGACTTCTGGTATGAGGTGGTTGACTAACACACAGTTCAGTCGTCACAGAACCAATGTTATTAAGACAATGTTTGAAGAGGAAAACTGAAACTTGGGAGTATAACTGCTATAAAAGAAAAACATGAATGGAATGAAAGCTAAACTGTTTTGATGGGTAACAATGTTTTACGCTATCCTTGTGATTCAATTGGGAGATTTGCTTATTGGCTTTCTTACCAAGAGTTAAATGAACAGATCAATACATCATTCATTGCTGTTAAGTGTGAAGCTACAGCCAGCAGCTGCTTAGCTTAGCTTAGCATAAAGACAGGGGGGAGACCTGGCTCTGTCCAAAGATGACAAACTCAAATGAACATGTTAAACATTGTTTGTTAATCCATGCAGAGACCAAAGTGTTAAAAATGAAATGATAACCTGTAGCTTTAAGAGGAGGGGGCGTGTCACTTCTGGGGCTGTCCCTTATTTTGAATATACAGTAGTTCAGCGGGGCTGGAGTCGGATTGCGTCGGATGTTTTTCGCCTTGTGAGATGTGCACAGCGGGTTGTGGGTTGTTGTTGTTGTATTCCTCGGCAATGCTCATCGTCCAGGCCTGTATTTAACATTTAAATGATAGCGCACAGCTAGGGAAGGCGTGTTTTTCTTCTGAGCCGCGTGCACACTTGAGACTGCACTGCTCGCAACCTGACAACATGGACTTGCACATATTGGACCACAGGCTTCGGGTCATCAGCATATCCAAGAATGGGCTGGTGCATTTCACACACCCCCTGATTAAGCTGATATTTCTCCGGAACAGGACACGGTAAGAAGCTCCGTGGATCGGGGTCAGATGTTTGTGTGGCACACCGGGTAATCCAGCACGGATATGAGCTAACCCACAGCGCCTCTTCATTCACTGGGTGGCCGAGCCGTCCCTGGGTTATTTGCCTGAGCATGCCCTGCTCTGCCTCCATGAAATGATCTACTGCGATGCATGGAGCTGCTGGGGAGTTGCAGTAGTTTGTGACAGATATTTAACGTTTGGGAAACTGCACAACAGCAAAAATATATGATTTAGGACTGTCATTTTTTTTTTAATGGATTGCATATGATTGCATTCATTATTTTTCCTTGTGTTTCCTTCATTATATTTGCACAAAAACCTTTAGCAGTTTGGTTAGCACAGTGCATACTCATATATTTTGCATATATTTTGTAGTCCTGTAAAATGCATGAATGCATGCTGCTTCTATAGAAGCAGTACCAGCATTGCTCAAACATCTTAAAGAGCATGCAGAGCCCCTCCACTCTATTTTGGTGGGACCTTGTTTCTCCAGCACAAACTTGACCTCTGACCTCCTTTACCCAAAGCCAGCATCCAGTTTGCAAATTGTCCGGCTCTCATGTTGGCATGAGTACCAGTTTTCAGCTAATCCCTGGATATCCTCCCTTTGTTATGTAATTGTTTATTGCTCTGGCTGCCCCACATATGCATGGCTAGGAGAAAAAAAGCTCAACATCTGTCTTTGAGCTGCCCGTGGTGTAGGACAGGCTCAGCCACTGCTCTCATGTCAAGCTACAAAGAACTTGTGAGCAAATGTCAGGGACGATTTTCCTCCTCTGATCGCCCCCGTGCTCTGTGTGACGCCTGAACTCTTGATAACTCGCCGTCCTCAAGGACTTGCTTATCGTGAGCATCCTGTGAGTATCAGCATCACAACGGCCCTTTATTAAGCTGTTTACCAGGCAGCACGAGTGGATCATGACCAGCTGACATAGCGGAATGAGATTTACATCATGTCCTGTCAAACACACCATCAGCATTTGCATTTGCCTCAGAGTATTGAGTATGGTTTAACACGTCCACGCTAGGATTTCACCAAACTACTATACTAAGTGATTAATAAGTCCCCTGTGAATGATACAAGGATGTACTGTGAGTGAGTCAGTATTTCTGAGGTACAGGCCAGCGGGGGCCGAACGAGTAATTGTAAATTATGAGGAACTGTGCCGCCCAGATTTAAAGTCAGTGTTTTATCTCATTTAAAGCCTACATTTTCATTTCCACCGACTCTGTGTTGCTTTCAGTGTCCGGGGGGAGAAAAGTAGGCTGAGCCCAGAATGAACCAGAAAAAAAAAAAAAAGCATGCACGGTGCCCTTCCTTTTGGATTAGCAGGCCTGACTGTTTTGTCAGTGTGTTGTTGTGCTTGCTTTGGAGTTATGTCATCATACTGTGGTGTGGCTGTGTTTTGGCTTGTTTTTCCTGTTATTTTTCTATAGCAGAGTTTTGCCCCAACACCGATCAAACTATAGACGATGCAGACGACGGGGGGATGGGGTGGGTGGAGATTGAATTAATAGCAACTCAAAAACAATGGAGCGAAAACAAGCCTCTGATCTCCCTCTCTCAGGCCCCTGCTATTCATTAGAGAACAACTCCCCGAAGAATGGAACGCAAAGTGGTTTGAAAAGCGGGTCCTGAACAGAATTTTAAGGAGGTTCCCGCTTATAGGAGCCAGGCTCATCCCAAGTTCTAAGAAGTTCCATTTGTCTTTCCGCTTCATCCAACACAACTGAGGCACACCTGTGGTCCAGAGGATGAAAGTCGCCTCAGAGACTTTGCCTCGCCTAGAAAGGAGAGGCCTTCATGTGATGAGGCACAGCGTGCCCGCTATCAGCTGCACCGTTAATCTGTGAAGGTCAGCTCTGTTTAGTTACGGAGACATGTCATCAGGGTTACGGGTTACGGTGTGAGGAAAAATGCCCTCGAAAGTGAGGACGTATGATCTAGGTCAGGTCTTGGGTTTAGTTTTCGGTTCGGACTACAAATCTGACTAAATATGTGCTGTAGTGTTACGGATCATATAAGAGAATGAGTGTCTATCTTCATGCATTCTTGATAAAAATTATGAGTTTCAAATAAACACTGAATGAATACTACCATTAAGGCGGAACAAACATGGATCATGAGCTTGCATGCTGTTAGTTTGTAGTCTTATAATGTCCGTCATGTGTTGTTTGGAGTTTATGGGTGTGGGAATAATCAAAGCCCAGTATCAGCCCAGGATATTGCTCTTATTGTACGGTGGATGCAGTCCTGCAGGTTCCACAGAGTCCTCCTTTCTTGCCGTCGGCGGCTCACTAACAGAGCCTGAGTTGGAACAATGCCTCTGCTGAGCCAGAAACCCGCGGGGGGGGGGTGGTCCACTTGTCTGCCTCAGTGATCTGTCAAGGTTGGGGCTCTCGCTCCCCCCGTTTCCACAAAGCTGCCCGATAACATGCAGGGATTTCAATTAAAAAAAACACAACAAAAAACATCCCCATTGTTCTGAAAAAAGAGGAGGCCGTGAGAACGCTACAGATCAGTTTGTGGGAAGAAGCTGCAAAGGTAGCAGACAGCTCGGACATCCTCTGACGGATGGGGCCCGAGGTGGCTCGGGGGGGGGGCCTCACTCCCCGCACCTCGCAGCAACATCGGTTCGTTCCGCTCTTATCATATTTCCTCAGCTGGAGCATCAGTTGCAGGAACCCTCACTCCCTCAGCGCCAAACTAACCGCCCGTGGCTTTTGCAGCTGGATCAAAGTCCAGACTCTTGTGTGCTTGGTCTTCATCCTCCCCACTCAGACGCTCCCCTCGCTACCTGTTGCTTCCTCCTCCCGTTTGGTTATTTTCCCTTCTCCTTCACTTTGTGTCGCTTCAAGCTTTAATAGAAGGAGCTTGTTTTTCTAAGGTTGGTTCAGGCTTGAGCTTCCAGTATGCGTCTTCAGAAGTTCTTCTCCAATGTTGGAATAGATTCAGAAACACGCGCAGACACACTATATTGCATCTCCCCTCTCTCGATGACGACCTGCTTTTCACTCTGCTTTCTAGGGTAAACACATTTGACATACAAACTAGTAGTTTGGTTTGAGCATAACCCAAATCCTTACATGCTGCGTTTCCTTTGGGATCTATTTGTCCTATACTTGTCTGTTTTTCCCCTCTTTATGTGTTGATGTGGAGGTAAGCGTAGACATAAGGACCTTCCTGTTCCTTGACCTACATTTTTGTCAAACCACTATGTGCATTTGTCCTACAAAGTTCTACTAAGTGATACAGAACACGCTCGGGAGAGGCCCTTTTATCTGTCTTATCTGTGCATCACAAACAGGAAACCAAAGCACAGTTGCCTCACGGACGTGTTTCCCTCAGGTTGCTCGATGCAACGAAATCCGTTGCTGAGGTCTGGCGGCCGCGCAGGTGTAACGCGAGAACCCCTCACTTTTGCACCACATGCGATAAAGCTCCACACTCGATCGGTCTCACTGGCGGAGTAGATGCTTGGCACACGCTACCTGCAGGAAACTGCGAGCTAAGGAAGGTGAGGGGTCAACAGGAAATGAGAGGGGGGGTGGTATTATAACACAATGGGCTGACTGAGCTTGCTAGCACAGCTGTTAGTTAGTGTTACAGTGTTCTCTCTCTTTGTCTCTCTGTCGGGTGATTGTCCCATCTCCTGGCAGGGATTACTTTTTGCTGAGTCAGGAGTATTGCGGCCTCACTCAGGCTTCTACTGTAAAGGCCTCGGCTGACTGATAAGCAGAGGAAGAGGAAGGTGTACCTCCAGTGAGACGTTTTAGGAAAACAGGAACATGCTGCTCTTCCTTTTTTATGGATTTGGAGAAAACAAAGGGAGGTCATCCATGTAGAAGCTGCTCATGTCTTCTCTCTACCAAAAATGAAACCAAAGGCTTCTCAAAAGGTCAAACTAATCCTGAAAAATTCCACTAACTCGCTCCTTCACAGCTGCAAAGGTTTCTTTCAGTGGTATTCTCAGTGTTACTCATTATAGAAGCAGGAATGTCCCATGGATCATATAATAACACTAAAGCTACTGTGTTACTGACATTTGTTTTCCCCACAGTATGGAGCTTGGTGGATGGCTCTAAAATACCGGGTGCTCGAAAAATTCAATTCAATCTCCATGTTTTTGTGTAACACCTACCAAAGGTACTTGTTTTTGGTGTAGAACAAGAGGAATTTGTCCCGTACAGAAAGTTCATTTGAAGTATAGTCATCTTAAAGGCTGATGTTATCCAAGAAAATGCGTGTTTCACTGCCCAGTTCTTTTCTCAACCCGTATCAAATCCCATGGGCCTCTTTTAACTTTTTCCACAAAGGCAACATTCAATAGAACTGAACACTGTGGCCCGGCCAAGCAAACAGCCTTTGAAAGCAAATGCTTTTGGCCCCAAGCCTGATGAATACGCAAATACCACACTGTAGATAGAGAGAAGCATAGCGCGTTGTAATCTAGGAATCTAAAGGTTCAGTCTTGTAGAGAAGCAGTCCTTGGATCCCGAATGATGATTGTGTTTACAATCCTGTGAATTCTGAAACGAGCATACCAACACATTCAGAAAGGCGGATGCCCTTCCCTTGAATGCAGCCGTTGCTAACTGAAGCAGTGTCCCTGTTTGCTGTGTTACCCACCATTTGCCGCGGACAAAGGAGCGATGCCGGCATAATGCTGATCCCGGGCTTGTGCATATTGAATGACAGCCAGTCCTGAAACCAGTGTGAATTTCGGAGAACTCCTGTTTGCTTTATTCCTGGTAACTGTTAATGACGATCTGAAGTCCCTTTAGTTGGTTGCAAATGAATAACCCTGTTCTTCCACTCTCTTTCTTTCCCCCCCCCCCCTCTCCTCTTTATCTCCTGCCTCTCATGTTTGCCTCTCCCCATCTGCGCTTCCTCTCCTGTTTCAGATGCAAGTTTTTCAGTCTGACGGAGACGCCGGAGAACTACACCGTCGTCCTTGACGAGGAAGGATTCAAAGGTAAAGAGCCCCTTGTGTGCACATCTTTCATCAAGCGGGGGTTTGTCCTTCTTCACTCTGACCGCTTTACTCCCAGGTGTACACCATAAAGTATACACACTATCCTAATCTTTCTCGTTACATTTCAAGATCAGTTTACTAGTCGTGGGGAGTTTTATGTGAAAACTGTTTGATCATTTCTTTTGTGGCCCTGTGATGTCATCAGGGTCATCGCAACCTTACAAACGCAAGCATCTTATCATATTCTGTCAAATCAAAAGAGCAGGATCAGAAAACTTTAAATAGCCGAATGTTTCATTCATTATAATTATCTGCTAAAAAAAGCTATTACAAACAGTTCACTAATTATATTACAAGGAGGAGCTTGCTAACAATAATGGCTGCCTAGACCCTGGGTTCCCAACTCCAGGCCTACATCCACACTTTCTATGCTTATGGTCCAACAATCCAAAAATCTGGCAAATTGTGTCACTTTCTGTATGAACACCAACCTTGAAAAAAGGTTAGATGGTAACGAGTAGTCTTGAATTGGGCCACAGCGTTGGACTTTGTTGTTTTAGCAGTAAAATGTTGCTTCTTTCCTTATTCTCCTCACATAACTGACAGGTAGGTTTTTCTTGGTCAATTTTGATGGGTATCTGCCTTTTATATTAAAAATGCTTTTATACACTGAACAATTGCTTATCCAAACCAAAAGTTGATGGAGATTCATCAATTGTTTACCCGTCGCTCATGGGGGGGGGGGGGGGATGTTGGGTCTCTTTAAATTATTGAGCGTGTATGAGATAAGGTCTGTTATGATTTTGCGCTCTATGAATAAAAATGTACCCGACCTCTGTCTGACTCCACTCCTGGGACAAAGTCCACTGTATAATGTACTGTGCACATGTTGCAGTCCCGTCCACTCTTCGTCCGGCCATCTGTGTGGTTTTACACAGATGTAGCTGTTAAAGGCATATATCGCCTCCGGGTGCTCCGTTTCTCTCCGTCTCCTTTGCTCTCCTTCTAACTGAGAGCCTATTTTAAGAGGTGAAAGCTGGTGTAGCGGAGCCACAAGGGGCCGTCTGTGACACATGATGCCAACCAGAACAGTGGCTCTTTTGAAGAAGAGCAAGAAAAAAAATTAAAATAAAGTATTCACTGCAGGAGGTAGACGCCAATGTAATGTTTTTGAGTTTCGCTTAATGATGCCATGACCACAATTGTTTGTGCCTCTGGAGATTTTGGAGATGCATCTCAAACCTCCAAAGAACGTTTTCTCTCCTCCCGAGCATTCTGAGGTTCTGCGCTCTGTTGTTGTAAGTCGAGCAGTGTATGGAGCGCTAGGACGCTTTTCTTCTTTTACACCTGTTATTTAAGTAGCACTCTTAAAAGGTTAGGGTGCACATTTCCCTAAGTCATCACCCCAATATATCTTTCTTTCAGCTTCTTGTTCACTTCCTGGATAGACACCTGTTTCCCGGGTAGCTGCCGGTTTCCACTTGAGTCTTGTTTTGGGACGAAGAGTAAAATATTCTCCTTTACCGACTCACAGGTTGTCACAGCTACGTCTGAGGGATTACCATGTTTGAACTTTGACCCTTCCCTCCCACCGACTAGGATCCGCAATGTCTGAGCTAATTTATGCATCGGTATCAGGTCACACACACACGCATAGGTTTTACTTGTCGCCATGCGGTATAAATAGCGGGGGCATTTTAGGTCTCCATGGTGAAGGAAGGGGCAGTGTGTGTGTGTGTGTGTGTGTGTGTGTGTGTGTGTGTGTGTGTGTG